TCCAAATTCTGCAAAGTGAAACACATCCATCTGCCAGATTTCATTCCTCTGAGTACCCTTTGGGTTACATCCTGCTGGTAGCAGAGTCTGATTGTATAAAGAACAAGTAGGACATTTCCTTACAATTTTCTTAGCTTGTTGCCAGGTTATGGAAAAATCCTTTTTTTTAAATTTTATTTTATAATTTAATTTAATTTTACATATGAGCCATGGATTCCCCTGTCCTCCCTCCTCCTGCCCCCCCCCCCCCGTCCTTCCCTCAGCCCACTCCCCATTCCATCTCCTCCAGGGCAAGGACTCCCCTGGGGATTCAGCTCATCCTGGTAGATTCAGTCAAGGCAGGTCCAGTCCCCTCCTCACTTCACCCAGGCTGAGCAAAGTGTCCCTGCATAGGCCCCAGGTTCCAAACAGCCAGCTCATGCACTAAGGACAGGTCCCGGTCCCACTGCCTGGGGGCCTCCCAAAGAGTTCAAGCTAATCAACTGTCTCACTTATCCAGAGGGCCTGGTCCAGTTGGGGGCTCCTCAGCTATTGGTTCATAGTTCATGTGTTTCCACTAGTTCGGCTATTTGTCCCTGTGCTTTTTCCAATCATGGTCTCAACAATTCTCACTCATACAATCCCTCCTCTTTCTCACCAATTGGACTCCCAGAGTTCCACCTGGGGCCTGGCCATGGATCTCTGCATCCACTTCCATCAGAAAAATCCTTTTTTAAACCTTTACTATTTGCTAGACTGGTTACCAGAGTAGACGGAACCACTGCCAGCAGACCAAGGTGGGGTCAACCTTGTGGATTCCTGAGAGCCTCCCTAGCACCCTGCCTCTTCTTAGTCCCATAATGTCCTCATCTATGACGGTATCACCTTGGTGCAGTGGGAAGGGGCTTAGACCTGCCTAGGCTCAGTGTGCTAGGCTCTGCTGACTCCCCATGGGAGACCTCGATTTGGGGGATGTGGGGATGTGGGGTGGCTTGGGTAAGAGGGCTGGGAGGTAGGAGGAGGGAGGAAGGAGGAGGAGTTTCTGTGGATAGCATGTGGAGTGAGTAAAAATTTTCTTAATAAAAAAAATGAAAAAAAACCTTTACTATTGACATTTTTTTAATGAAATTCTGAGGCCTCCAGCACATTTCCTATCAATAATTTATCAATCTCATCATTACTTTGTGCTAGAGGGCCTGCCGGACCTCTATGGGATCAGATATGAGTTATATATAAGGGATGATTCCTATTCTTGATAATATCTTGTAACTGAATAAATAGTGAAGTTAATTCTGACTCATCAGGGATAAATTCAGCAGTCTCAATATGTAATACTACTCTTTCAGCATACTAAGACTCAGTAACTATGTTGAGAGGTTCTGAAAAATCCATTAATACCAACAGAATAGCACACAATTTCAATTTTTGAACCAAATTATAAGGACTTTGAACCACTTTACTTAAATTTTATGATTTGTAACCTGCCTTTCCTTGTTTGTTGGCATCTGTATAAAGTGTACAGGCTCCAGATATGGGTGTTTCCTGTACAATGTCAGGAAAAATCCAATCAGCTCTCTTTATAAGTTCAATTCTATTGCTTTTGGGATATTTGCTGTTAATCTCTCCCCAAAAATTACTGCAAGCTCTTTGCCAAGGTTCACTTTCTGCCCGTAATTTTTCAATGTCCTCCTTAGTTAAAGGTATGACAATTCCTGCTAATTGACAAAGTCTCAATTTTCCTTTTAAAAATCAAGTCAGAGATCTTTTCCACATAAGTTTTTATTATTTTTTCACTCTGTTTATTTGGTATAAATATCAATTCCAATATAATATCTTCCCTCTGCATTAAAATTCCTGTAGGAGAATGCCTAGAGGGTAAAATAACCAAAATGCAATCTAGCTTTGGATCCACATGATCCACATGTCCTTCCTGTACTTTCTTTTCTGCCAAAGCCAATTCTTTTTCATCTTCAGGTGATGATTCTCTTGGCCTATTTAAGTCCTTGTCATCTTCTAAGGTTTTGAACAAATTACTGTGTTCATCACTTTTTACCCCAGCAATAGTTCGTAGATGGGAAATGTCTCCAAATAATCTTTGAAAGTCATTAAGAATCCATAATCGATCTCTCCTAATTTGCACCTTTTGTGGTCTAAGTTTTTGTAGATCTATTTTATATCCTAAATAATAAATAGATTCTCCTCTTTGTATCTTTTCAGGAGCAATTTGTAATCCCCAACAAGGCACAATTTTTTTTAACTTCTTCAAGCATTCTTTCTAATGTATCTGCATTAATGTATCCTGGACGCATGAATGGTCACATTGCATGCACAATCAAGAAGTGGAGAGCAGACAAGAAGTGGGGCCATGTTGTAAGACCTCAAATCCCATCCCTAGTTACCAGCAAAGGTCCATATACTTTAAATTCTACAACTTTCTAAACAGTTCTAACCTCTGTATTCAAGCGCATGAGATTTTGGAGGGCATTTCACAGTCAAACTACAAAGAATATCTAGGCAAGACTCTGATGATCAATTTTCTCTGAATTTGGGGCTACACTAAATATTATTTTTAAAATACTTAAAACTCTTGTTGTTGTCTTCAAGTATTATTTAGTTCTTTTGAGGAACAAATTATTTAAGTATTCAGAAATTCAATTCCTCTTCCCCCAGTTCAGGAGACTAATGTTTACTTCATAAACTTGTTCTATACATAGAATTTTCAGTACTTTCATTAGGTTGATATAATACCTGAGAATGAATTAGCTCTTAGTAAACAGTCATCAGCACCCCTGCCCATCATTACTTATGTGTATAAGTCATTTATATGTGACTTACATGTAACTAGTACAGAAAATGTGATTTAAATGTATTGTTCTGTACATTTTATTTTCTAATCAAATTTAATTTTCTATACAATATTTTAGGAAAATAAAGTTTTGGGGAATTGGTCAAGTACCATGTAAATACTCCTCATAGTTCTTAAAACATAGGGAGTACAGAATAAAAGGAGGGAAGGGGGCCAACGTGTGAAATTGTCTGTCTTCTCTCTATGCATGCCACCTTCTTTATCTAACAACCCACAAAATGCCACATCCTATCATCATTGCTCACCTGAATCGTCTGACTTCATATTTGAAATATATTCAAAACACATTTGAAACAATGTTCACAACATTACTAAGGTTGCCAGTGACTTGAAGACAGGCCTGAATCATTTGATTCTCTGTAGAGTGTGACCCCAGATAGGGAAGCCGAGTTACTGCAAATAACAAATAGGTGCTTCAAAGGACAGAGTAAAGAAAGTGTTCTTAGGGAATTGATCAGAGTACAATAAAGCTGATAATACCTTTCTGGAGATCTTTTGTGCAGTCATCTAATACTAAATATTAAATATTGCTCCTGAATAAGAGTGGAATCTTCTGTTGTATCATAAGGAAAGAAAATGTAAGGTGTGTGTGTGTGTGTGTGGAGGGGGTAAATTTATAGTAAGAAGCTATAAAAGAAAGGAAGACTTTTAGCAATTGGGTTTGAGAGACAAAACATCCTTGGGGATTGAAAGAATGAAGATCCATCTCTTTACCAGGCTTGCACTTTCTCAAAGTGCAGGACAGCTTTTCCTGAGAATGTTGTCAATGGAAGTTTTCCGTTAAATTTCCCGAGACATAGACAGGCCCATCTACAGCATCAGCATCCCTTCTGGGTACTTGACATGGGCTGACTTTGGTGTCTTATTTCCATCCCATCCCATAGTGCTTAGATTCATGCCTGTTTTGAAAGTCTCTCTCAATGAAATGCCCCTTCCTTAGTTCCACGTGTCATCTCCACAGTGCACTTGTTTGGGGCAACACCAGCAAAACCCCTCCCTCTGCCTGTAAAGGTCCACTCAGAAGTGAACCAAGGTTCAGATGCCTCCGGACCAGGAAACAGGACACCAAGACTTCTGAAACTCAGGGTAGAGTTGAGATGGATGTCAAAATCTCTGACAGAGCCAATGGATGTGTTGTGAACACTTTTCTGTGACACGGGTAGCTAGTTTCGGTACATGGGCAACTGAAGTTTCGCTTTGCTTCCTGGAAGTGGCTCATGTTTCCTTGGTGGGATATACGTTTTCCTTTTCATCAGATAAAGCTCCAACCCGAGTATCTGGTGAACCAGGTTTTGTTTGTTACTCTATGAGGACTGTAGTGTGTGTGTGTGTGTGTGTGTGTGTGTGTGTGTGTGTGTGTGTGTGTGTGTGTTTGTGTGTGTATGTGAGTGTGTGTTTGTGAATGTGAGCATGTGTGTGTGTGTTTGTGAATGTGAGCATGTGTGTGTGTATGTGAGCATGTGTGTGTGTGTGTGTGTGTGTTTGTGAATGTGAGCATGTGTGTGTGTGTGTGTGTTTGTGAATGTGAGCATGTGTGGGTGTATGTGAGCATGTGTGTGTGTATGTGAGCATGTGTTTGTATGTGAGTATGTGTATGTGTTTTGGATGGTGGTGTGGAATGTGAAGCACATCCCTTTAGGAGGCTCCCTGACAAAAACAGAAGACTGAGATAACAATTGTGGTGGCTGTGAGTCTTAGAGTTTGTTGGGGGGAATTTGAATTATGGGTATATAGAAGGAATGAGCAAGAAGAGGCAGATTCACTTCTGTTGGAGGATTTCTTGAAGTGAACAGAAACAGTTGAGTATATTAGAAACCAAGAAGCCTAATTTGGGGACAGAGCACTCAGGATTACATACGTCAGATTCAGCTTGGGCAGGTACTAATTAAACTCCAGAGTGACTCACTGACTTGTAAGAGGAGAGTCCTCTTCTTGTCCCAGGTGTCCAATGCAAAAACCTCTGATGGCATTACATAACCTTCCTCTGGCACCCCAGGTGTCCTCAGTGGGAAGAGCCTCCCACCCGCCAGTGCCAGGATTGGATGTTAGTGCCAGGATAGGTGTTAACTGGAGGAAGTCACTGCCCTCCTATGTCTGTGAATAGCTTTTGCTTCATGAAGAAAAGGAAGAAGTCACTGAGTCAGACACCAATATAGTCAGGAGTGGAAGGATTTAATGGGGACATAACAGGACTGAATCACTTGTAACTTAGTCCCTCTTCAGAAGAACATTGAGTAGACAAACTAGCTCAGGAACCAAGTCCTCAGTTGAATTCAGAGACTCAGAGGCCCCACATTTATAGGTAAAAAATCTTCGTAGTGCTTCATTTTAAGGTATAAATGAGAGGCAGGACTGTGCTGTAAGGGCGTAGTATTTCCCCAGAATGGAAACTGGGGCTCAGCATTCATCTGGTGATCAGCTCCTCAAGGCACAGTTTTGAACTACATTACTTTTGCTTTGTCTTCTGTTGGGCTAGTACTGGAGTGACAGTGGAAGGGCAGGGCTCAGGAGCCTTGGGGTGGCAGGGCTCAGGAGCCTTGGGGTGGCAGGGCTCAGGAGCCTTGGGGTGGCAGGGCTCAGGTGCCTTGGGGTGGCAGGGCTCAGGAGCCTTGGGGTGGCAGGGCTCAGGAGCCTTGGGGTGGCAGGGCTCAGGAGCCTTGGGGTGGCAGGGCTCAGGTGCCTTGGGGTGGCAGGGCTCAGGAGCTTTGGGGTGACTGGGTTCAGGAACCTTGATGTCACAGGGCTCCTTGATTTGGGAGACACATGGCTCCTGCGGTGGTGGTTGACAAGGCTGTTTCACTTGCTGCTCATGCAGCTGAGGAGGTCCTGTGCAGGGCTGCTTCTGCTGGTGTGAACTCATGCTTCAAAGACGGCTGGGCCTAGAAATAGAATAGATGGTTTATGGAGAGAATGGCTTCACAAGAAACCGCTGGCAGCGCCACTTCTGATGTCCAAAGAAGTAGAGGTTCTCCTTTCTCTCTCTCTCTACCACAGAGGGTACTTTGCCATGGAGGTCCTTAAAGGTCATCTGGTTCTAAACAAACAGGATCTTTCTGGCCGTTCCCTCTTCCTACCTACTACAGCAACACAGCAAAGGGCTTTATCAGGAACATGAGATTGGTGACGTTGGCTCATGTGGAAATGTGATGGCATGCAGAAAATAAAAACAATAAAATGCTCACAGCCCACTGCTCATCTGCACCAAATAAGATGTTTTGTCACCTGCAGAATGCCTGTGGCCACTCCAGGATGCCTCACCGTCACATGCGGCTCACACGTTCCTCCATCTCAGGGGCGCCTCTCATGTCTGCTTGCTCAGATTTGCCCAGCTGTCACAGATCACCTGCTGTGCCAGTCTTAGGCAGCTTTCTTAGAGCGAGCACTTCAGAAATTTTTCTCGCCTTTTCAAACTGCCACAGCACTTGCCCTTGTCTCCTGTCACTGATGCCTCATAGTACTGCCTTTAGTTCTTGGGCTTCTAAATGAGATGCGCTTTTACGGAGAAAATTCTCCTTTGTTAAATTATCTTTTACAGTCCAAAACACCAGATGCAGCAAACTCTTAACAAATGTTTTTATTGAAAGAATGAAATTCTTAGCATTAAAACTGTAGATAAAGAAATGATGTCACTAGTAATGAGATAGGCTTGTGTTCTTACCCAGACCCAGCAAGAATACATACATACATACATACATATATATATATATATATATATATATAATTTTTCAAGGGTTTATAATTCAGATGATATATCTGCATTATAACTACAACTACATTTCAATAAGAGGACAAAAAAGACACCCTAAATGCAAACGAGGCTCCAGTAAAACGTCACATAAATGCATAAAGTAAATGGTAAAGTATCCACATAGAGAAGCTTACCTGGTATGCAGAGAACAGGCAGTGTAGTCACTGGGATCTGATGTGGCATCCTCTTCACACTGGCCTTTTATAGAGGGAACAAGCCCTGCCTCGGGGGAATGGGAGCCTTTAGGGCCACTGAATCTTCATGGCTTACCTGTCAGGCATGATTCACCCTGGGTGCTTCACCCACTTATTGGTTCAGCTTAAGTGATGACACTGGTAATGTGATTTTTTTTTTTTCACATGCTGACGATAATGCCATCTGAGCATTAACCCTGAAGAATACTCCCTCCACCCCGCTTCCACCCACCTGGTCTTCAAGTGTGATGTTTGCAGGGAGGATGCTATGGATTGAAAGAGCAAAAAGGAAATTCTGGGAAATCAGGCATCAGAAATCCCGTCTTATGGGTGTCTTAAGCAGAGCTTCAATTTAGATGAGTTTATTGGGATGATTAGGATCTATAGGGGGTGATGGATAGCCAGTAGGTGTTTCCGGTTCTCCTGAGAGGCGATGGGTATAATGCCATTACTTTGTTCTATTCAGGACAATTTAGGCCATAATTTTACCTATCCATTACTTAGTGGACTTAAGCCACAAAAGGAGATTAAGAAAACATACAAACAAGCAAACAGACAAATATTCTAAAATGATTTTCTTTTTCTTTTTTTCTTTTTTAATCGTGAGAGTCCTTTTTCCAAGAAGAAATACAAAAATAAAAGGCACAAGGCTGGGAATCTCTATTAGAGAAGGGGAACTTTGAGCTGGGTGAAGTGAGAGGGCCATAGGACTTCAGGTGCAAAGTGACTCGGTTCTTTTATCCCAGCCACTTTTTCTATCTAGTGTGGTGAAGACTTGGGCAGATGGTTACAGGGGAGATGGAAACTGGGGAGAGTTCAGAATATTGGTGAGGAGTGGCGAGGTGGGCTTTCATGGTGGTAGGCATTTGAACAGCATGGTCACACACTCTAGGAAGGGCATGCATAGAGTTCGGTGGAGCCTGGCAAGCAGAGCATCTTTTCTCAAACTCAGCCGTGCCTTACATGATGAAAGGGCTGTGTGAACAGAGGGTTTCTTCCTCAGGAAGAGTTTCTCTCCTAAGCTAGGACAACATTTATCTAACCTGTGAAAACAGTTTCAGCTCACACAGTGCCCACCATTATGTCATAGGCTACTTCACTTCACTTCCTCTTTCCTTACCAGAAATCATGACTCACTAGAAGTCTCTCTTTCTACACCATTATTCAAATAAAATACATCATTTCTTATGTAAGAAAACCCAAAATAAACAAAAATAGTTGAATCTATATAAAAATTAAGGAAAGCATACTAAAATCCGGAAATTTTCTGTTGTCTACCATGGAGTTCAATGTAAGCAAACAATATTTGGTAATAAGAGAAAACCTATTTGGGGAACACAACTATATTTAGTTGACTCTTCTTTGAAATCAATGTGGAGAGATTCTTTCTCAGATAGAAACTGCTTGTTCTCTGTTCATTTTAGTCCCATCTGTTTAACTTTCTCCATGAAAACTTCAAAATAATATAGTGTAGAACAAAGTAAGAATAGGTTACATAATTTCCATGTTGTTTTTTGACTGCGTTAAAGAAAATTCCCATTTTTTTCAATGTCCATCTACTGTCATATTCAAAACACAATCGAATTGCTCTCAAACCTCAAGATCTCAGACTCAGTGCTGTGGGAGATTGCAACACCAAATGGTGACACATGGAATATCCCAAGACCAAGCAGGATCAGGCAATTGTCAAGCCAAATGTGAGGCTTATGAAAGAGTGAGTTACAGAGCTTCAGGTAATGACATGTCCTGGAACCTCCCTCCTGGGGTGTGTACTCTGCGTTAGTGATGCTTCTTGCAGTTATAGTGGGTTGTGGGAGACAATGAAAAATTTCCAGGCCTCTCTAGTCCTATAAAAAACAAGCTCTCCAAGTTTATTCTCTCAAAGAAGTTTTGAGTGTCTATAGGACATCAGTTAGTATTCTTGGCACTTGCATATATCATTGAAAAACAACAAATATAATGAATTATTTACACTACACATACTAAAGGAGAAGGAAGAAATCTATTACAAATAATAAAAAAATGATGGGCATGAGAACTTTATATTTATGCTATGAAAAAAAAGAACAGCAATGTAAGCCATTAGGAACACCAAAGAGAGAATGGTATTTGTAAATACTCTTCCAGGAGATGATTTTGGACAGACCCAAGAGAACGGAAGCTATTAGAACATCTGAGGGCAGAATGTTCAAAATAAGGCACGATATGGAGCAAATCCTTAAGTGGAGATCCAAAGCAAGTGCTGGAGCTACCTGGCATGTTCCAGTGTCACAGGGGCTGAGACAGAGGCCACAGCCGAACCTGTCAGCCTACTGCCAGTCATTCTCAGAACACAATGACTCACCTTCCCACAGGTCTTTATGAGTCTGCTTAAACAGTCCTTAGGAGAGTATGCTAAAGAAATGTCTCTTCAGGTGCCCAGATGTCACGCTCCTTGGATTTTTTGTTTTTGAGAGTGAGAGTTTCTTCTCTGTAATGGAAGAGTTACATATATGAGTAGATTAAACTCACATCTTAAATCATTTTAATACAGTGAGTTTACCTATTGAGGATTCTTTTAGCAACCTTTTAAAGTTTAGTTATTCATGTGATAATAGGACCGGTGAATTACTTGTTAAACATAGAATTGACCAGGACTAGCAGGTCATCCTTCAGTCATAGGGTCCTGAGAGAGAAGACCAGGAGATCAGGGGATAAGGGGATAGGAAAGTTTAGAATTAAGAGGTCTTGCACAAGCTATGTGTTATGACAAGGCAGCTTATTAAGAAATACAGCATCTTATACACTATTTCCAGGGCAGAAATGGTACAGTGCCAGCAGAAACTATCATACAATGAGATGAAGTCAGAAGGAAGAAAATCAAGAAATGTTGCACAAGGAAACACAGGGTATCTCAAGAATAATACAGATGGAGCACATAGTAGCCTTGGGATTAGCAACCTTAGCTCAGCATGGTGGAAAGAACTGTTTCTCAGTATCCAAAGTTGTGGCTCACTCAAGGCCCTGACCCCAGGCTATTACTGGATCTGCCAAGCATATTCCTAGTTTTAGAGGAGGAATTGTGTTCCTTCTCCATACATGGGGCCTTGGGGGAAACCTTGGATCAGCCCAGTCCTCAACGTAGAATTATAAATTTTGAAAAGAAAGCCTTTCTTTTTAGTAAAGTTATGTTACATATTGTATTATAAGTATATTAAAGTGTGATGAAAATAGGGATGCTGGTATGATGGCAACTGAATACTTGGAAACTGACCAAAAATACCATTTATTAGTAGCCACCTGACACCTATTTTGTTTTCTTGGCTACTCAGTTTAATAAAATCTTCTAGAGTTTGCAATTCAATGTAGTATATAAGTCTTAACTAGAAAACAAAGACAAATGAAAAAAGATCAAGAAGATTCATATTGTGAAAATGGCCATTTTACCAAAAGCAATCTAGAGATTCAATGCAATCCCCATCAAAAATCTGTCACAATTCTTCATAGAAATCAAAAAATAATCTTCATATAGAAACACACACACACACACACACACACACACACACACACACACACACACACACACACCAGGATAGCTAAAACAATCTGGAATAATAAAATAAAATAACTGTCAGAGGTATCACCATCCCAGATTTTAAGTTGTATTATAGAACTATAATAATAAAAAAGCATGGGATTGGCATAAAAACAGACACATTGATCAATGGAATAGAAATAAATACCAGGAGTAATTCAATACATCTACAGATATCTGTTGTTTTAATAAAGAAATCAAAAATGTGCACTGAATAAAAGAAGGGTCACAAGCCCTGCTCCCTACTCCTGTTTGTGAGGAGAAAGATGGCTCAGCGGTTAAGAGCGCTGACTGACATTCCAGAGGACCTGAGTTCAATTCCCAGGCCATCAGGGGTCTTATCACTCCAGGATTAAA